ATCTCAGCCCAAAATCTCCTTAAGATGATAAGCAACTTCAGGAAAGTCTCAGGATACAAAATCAATGTGCAAAAATCACAAGCATTTCTATACACCAATAACAGACAAGCAGAGAGCCAAATCATGAGCGAACTCCCATTCACAATTGCTACAAAGAGAATAAAATACCTAGGAATACAACTAACAAAAGATGTGAAGGACCTCTTCAAGGTAAACTACAAATCAATGCTCAAGGAAATAAGAGAGGACACAAACAGATGGAGAAACATTTCATGCTCATGGTTAGGAAGAATTAATATCATGGAAATGGCCATACCGCCCAAAGTAATTTATATATTCAATGCCATCCTCATCAAGCTACCATTGACCTATTCACAGAACTGGGAAGGTGGTTACCTTAAACTTCATATGGAACCAAAAACAAGCCTGTGTGGCCAAGACAATCCTAGGCAAAAAAGAACAAAGTTGGAGGCATCATGCTACCTGACTTCAAACTGTACTACAATGCTACAGTAATCAAAACAGCATGGTACTGATACCAAAACAGAGATATAGACCAATGGAACAGAAAAGAAGCCTTGGAATTAACATCATACATCTAAAACCATCTGATGTTTGACAAACTTGACAGAAACAAGCAATGGGGAATGGATTCCCTGTTTAATAAATGGTGTTGGGAAAACTGGCTAGCCATATTCAGAAAGTTGAAACCAGACCCCTTCCTTACACCTTACACAAAAATTAACTCCAGGTGGATTAAAGATTTAAACATAAGACCTAACACCATAAAAACCCTAGAAGAAAACCTAGGCAATACCATTCAGGACATAAGCCTAGGCAAACTAACCTCTTTTTAAAGACAATGTCCTGGACTTGTTTTGTTTTTGTTTTTTGCTATATTTCAATCACTGCACGTTTGTGTTCAATGGCCTGTAAAATGTCTTGTGTATTCTGAAAAAAGAAGGAGTTCACATTGAAATGGCAAGTGTCTATCTGGATTCTAAGAGAATCTGGGTGCACAATACTTACCTGCTAGCTTAACCTAAACATAACCTGATTCTAACGGTGAAGACTAATTGAGGTTTAATCCTGAGTTCATTCACAATGGAGATTTAGCCACCCATGTTTTCCCCAAGAATATACTGGTAGAAGTATACTTGGTCCTGCTTCTTTTCCTTTTTGGTAGAATTACTTTTTTTTATTGTCGATATATATATATATGTTATACATTATGTACATATACACATACAATAGCATTTACCATTTTAGTGTATAAGTCAGTGGCCTTCAGTCGTGCAACTATCACTACCATTTCTGGAAGTTTTCAGTATTCCAAACAGAAATTCTCTGTCCATTAAGCTATCACTCCCCATTCCCCCTGCCCAGCACTTTGTAACTTCTATCCTGCTTTTTGTCTCTCTCTGATTTTGCCCTCTCTAGGTACCATATATACATGGAACTCTGCAATATTTGTCCTTTGTGTGCGGCTTATTTCTTTAACATCACATCTTCAGGGTTTATCCATGTGGTGACATGTATCCAAACTTAATTCCTTTTTAGGAGTATGCCATCGTGTTAACATGCACATTGTCTCCGCATTCATTTGTTAGTGGACATTTGTTTTACTTTTACCTTTTGACTATTGTGAATCATGCCACTGTGAACGTGGGTGTACACGTATCTGTTCCAGTTCCTGTTTTCAGTTCTCTTAGGCGCATATCTAGGAATGGAATTGCTGAGTAACGTAGTCATTCTATGTTTAACTTATTGGGGAACCGCCAAGCTACTCTCCATAGTGATTGCACCATTTTATATTCCCATATGGTAGGATTATTTTATTCCCAAACATTTGCTACCCTTCTCTAAGGAATTCCATATCTCTCCTATATACATTGGGCTTGGCTGCTTGACATGCAACTAACTGCATATGACAAAAGCTTTAGACCTCCCCGTCTCCATCGTTTTCACTCTTTCCCCTAACCTGTCCCAAACAGGAGCTGCTCTGCAGCAGTGTGAACAGTAAGAGGGCTGCTGTACACCCACAGCCAACACACAACACAAGTGAGAATGAGCCTGTGTCTTGAAGGTGCTGCAGTCCTGGCGTCATTTTGTACTGCAGCAAAGCAGCTCCTTATACCTTTTAATTGCTCCCTTCACCTTTCCTCTCTTCACTTGTGCGTGATTCTCTGCAGGGTCTTTGCTTCCTTTCTTTGCCAGGTACTTTTGCATGTGCTGTTTCCTTTTTCTAGAATTAGCTGTCCTCCAAAACCTGTGACATTATGAGGAAGAAGCATACAAAACTGTCATTGTTGCAGACAAAAAGTCATCAAAGTCTAGCAGTTTCCTATGCTTAACATAACTAAAAACAAATATGGCAGTACGCAAGCATTGTGCTGGGAACTTGGTTCCAGTAACCCCTCAGCTCCTCTCATTAAGCTTGTAATCACTCCTAACCCCATTACGAAGATGAGGAAATGTAAGGCTCAGGCTCATCAAGTCACTTAGCTCATTAGTGGTGGATCTAGATTGCAAATCAGGCTCTTAATTAGGACCCTCTATTGTTCATCGTGTTCCCTCCTGTGCACTCCCCTCTTCTCTGGAGGGGCTGCTGGAGATTCTTTGTGACAGTACTTACTACGGTTCCCATTACCTGGAGGTTACATTCATTTGTGCTCACAATGATGAAGAAGCTTAGCCAAGCTTGTGTTATGTATTATTCTTAATCCCATCTTGCAGATGAAGAAACGGAGGCTCAGCTCATTAAAGTGTTTACTGCATTGCACAAAAGTTACCTAAATCACCAAAATAAACGGGTGCGGTTCTAGGGAGGAGAGCTGAGGAAACTGTGTTGTTGGCTTTGTGAACACAGTGGTGTGGCTTGCCTGTGGACTAATAACCTGTCTTTCAACAGGACTACACAAATCCACTCAGCCTCCCAATCTAAAACGTCACACTCAAGGTTCCCTCTCATCCCATAGAGCCACTTCTGCAGACCCATCATCAACCAATGATGCTGAAAACATCATACCTCATGATCAAAGGCATAAATTCTTAGTTCAGGGATTTCAAGTATTTTAGCAGATAAGCAGTGGTAGTTTGGAGAACATTAATCATGAAACCAAACTTCCTGACCAAATCTATATCTGGTCAATGTTTCTAGAAGCCACCAGCCTGGGTTTCAAGTGAAGTAAGACTCACTAATTCACAATCACAAATGTACCATGTGCTGTTCAAATGGGTGGATTTTTTGCCGGAGGACATTCCATGTATTTAGTGATGTAAGATCCTAGTCCACTATTAGCCACTTGTTTATTTTCTACACTGCTTTTCATCTGTTCATCCTCAGAAGAATCGGAAATTTCCCCAGCAGTTCTGGAATTTGGGTTATTCAAGTGGTGCCCACCAAGTGCCAAGTCCAGTCTAGCTACAGGACTTAGTCCCTGCACACTCCCAAATTCAAACATCACCAGGCACACTTACGTGTGTGCTTACCTTGCAGTACTTACACCGATCCATGGAGGGGAGAGAGTTTAAGTCATGGAAGTGATACTCTCTCTGAAGACCATGCATCCCAACTTCAGAAGTAGCAACAGAGTTACCCTGTATCACTTTTACTCTGAAATGTCGAAGTTTCAACAAAATGAATCTTTAGTCATTTAAAAAATTGATTTGTCATCAGAAGTTTAAGTCAATTTTTGATTTAATATTATGTTGATGATCTTGTGGAGAAATGTTCAAAATAGAAATGATATAAAATGCCAAAAATAATAAAAGGAGACCCACACTTCATTGATATAATAAATACATTTTACATTTAAGGATACCAATTACCAATTCCTGATTCCCAGTCAAAAAGATTAAGTAGATCCAGATGTCACAGATGTGAATCCACATGTTTATATCACATCTTAAAAACAATTGTTATTTTAATCCTACCAAGGTAGAGGGTGCTGTATTTGAGTGAGAGAGAGACTAGTTTTGTTTAGAAAGACAGCAGTGAAGACAGCAGTGAAACAAATGTCCATGAGCTATCTTGAATTCGTATTGACTCTCCCCCAAATCTTAGCATTTTCAGCTCATTGAGGAAATTTTCCTAGTATATAATCTTCTCTTGGCATAAAGTTTTCCTAGAAAGTCTGCAATTTTTAGGTAACAAAGAATATTAATAACAAATGAATTTTCTACCGATCTCAAGTTTGTGTTAATATGATGTTCAGTCTAACACCAAACTCCTTCACTAGCAACACCCTCTTTAAAACATGTGGGTCTCCCAGACCTCGTCATTTGGATTTTTCTCCATTATGGGTGCCATCTGTATGTAACATCTGTCACCCCTTTGATTGCCAATGTGAATTTCAATGGTTTGGCTGGTTTCTTTCTCTTTTGCATATTTCTAACTACCTGCTTCTCCTCTCACCCAAAGAGGTATAACTCTACAAAGACAAAAGTTATGGAAACTATGTATTTCAAACCTAAAATCAGAATATCCATAGCATGAGAAGTATGCCTGCACTTAAACACACGATGGGCGTAACATTCGAACTGCCCGGAGCACCTAGGATGCCTGGTCATCAGCCTCGAGAAGACAGATGGTAGACATTACGTGTCTTCCTAGCACCTTCTGGCCTGGAGCATTGTATCTTCAAACAATTGTCACATTTGAATGAGTGAGAATTTAAAAGGCATTTTCTATTTGTGAGACTTTTGAACTGCGTTTAACATTCAAATTATGAATATATATATATATATATATATATATTTTTTTTTTATGGAGTCTCACTCTGTCACCCAGGCTGGAGTGCAGTGGTGCAATCTCAACTCACTGCAATCTCTGCCTCCCAGATTCCAGTGATTCTTCTGCCTCAGTCTCCTGAGTAGCTGGGATTACAGGTGCACACCATCACACCTGGCCAATTTTTGAATTTTTACTAGAGACAGGATTTTGACATGTTGGCCACGATGGTCTCGAACTCCTGGCCTCAAGTGATCCACCCGCCTCAACCTCCCAAAGTGCTGGGATTACAGACTTGAGCCACCATGGCTGACCAACATTTATAGTCTTAAAAGTCTATTTCTATCAACACACAGATTTAGCCTTCTCTGTTGCTGTTATCATCTTCAGTCAGTGGAGACTGTATAAAACCCCTGGATTGGGGACTGAAAGAGCCAATGTCAGAATAGAGAGTGGGACAGAGTAAGAGAGCCCTTCTCCCCTGATTTGGAACTGCTCATTGAATCCTGATCTAAAGTGGAATGGAATAAGACTGCTGGGTTCCGTTTCAGTGAGAGTCTGCCTCCTGGTGCAGAGTCTATTTGGAAGCCACAGCCAGAAGCCACTTAACTGAGCACTGGGTGTTGAATCTCCTTGGGAAGCCACAGGATGTAGAGGAGGTGTGGCACCACCACATCCTGCAATCAGCAGTCAGCCGGCCTCACCTATGGGCGTGTTATTCCACAGCCAAGACGCCCCAGGGCCATAATGTCCAGCCCCATCTCTAAAAGTACAAAAGTGAGTACAAAAAGCTGTTGCACCATGATAGAGGTCAACCCACTGCTTGACGAGGACAAAAGCAATTTGGCAAGGCTGGAGAGTGCAGATGAGCGTGTCTCCAGAGAGACAAAGGCTCAGTCTGTTTTGCTTCTAAATTTGAGCAATTAGTGTCCTACCCAATACACATCAACTCAACAGCTAGGCAACATTTCTGGAAGAAATATACTTCTAGGAAAGTAGACAATGAAAATGTTTTTAGAATAGTTTGTTTTATTATGAACTCTTTTTTAAAACAATTCTTGATAACAGCATACAATGCTAGTCATACCTTAATATTTATCTAATTAGGGAACATTATTGAAGCAGGAATTGCTTGAAATAGAATCAGAATTTAATACCAGAAAAAAAAAAAAAAAAAATTGAGAGTTGTATACTGACAAATTTCTCTCTGAATGTTTGCAATTGCTCCCACTCTTTCAGGTACACATATCACAGATTCAGGGAACAGGATACTCCCTGTATTTGAGATGTGAGAAAAATAAAAGTGACTTTTCCTTGTCCTTTCCCCCAATCAAAAGAAATAATTACATCCAGGATACAAATGATCTTCCCACAGCTGATTTCCGGAGTGTGTGATTAGCTACAAACCTTCCTACCTAGTGGGACATTGGAACATGAGATAGCAGGAAGATGGAGATGGTTATTTTGCTCCTTGGGGAATGAAGTGTGAAACCTGTGGGAAGCTGAGAGTACCCTCAGCTCTTAGTTCCCATGCCCAAGAAGATAAGTACATCCCTGAATCTTCTGATGCAAAATCCTTCATTGGTGTATTATAACCAGGCCTGCGTGGCTTGGCTTAGAAAAGCTGTATTTGGGTTCCTATTACTGGTGATCGACAAATCTAAACCTCAACCTACTTTGCATCATCACGCCTGAACTACAAGTTATAGCTAAGCTTAAAAACATTTTTTACTTTATTTACTTGTCTGGAAGTGAAAGTGTTCTGAAGCTGTTTTGAAAATATACAAGTATATCAATATCTATAATATCTCTATATCTCTATCTATCCCTATCTATCTATCTATCTATCTATCTATCTATCATCTTAGTATTCAACATCATCAATCAAACAGAAAATGCATTTGTGAATTCAAGCAGATGGAGACACCCCCAGCTCACCCACCTACTGATGTTGCTTCCTTCGGAGGCCATGCAATGCAGGAGGAGTTCCAAATTACGGTCCTTGGTTGAAAGAGTCTCAAAGTCAGGCACACAGATACAAGATGAAACATCTTTGCAAGTTATTGTCTGTTCAGAGTGCACAGCTAGGGAAAAGGAAAACAAGCATTCAGTCCTCCGTTCCTCCTCCTCCTCCTCCGTCTCCCCTTTTATCAGTTGATTGGACATGTCACCAAAGCATCTAAGTTCTCTGCAGGATGAAGTAGGAGAATATGCTTATAAGGATGGAGAAGACCTGCTTGTTCTCACTTCATTTGTGATCTGAGGAGAAAGAATGGCTCCATTGCCTGTGACTCCAACAAACAGAGCAGAAATAATATCCAGGTAGACAAGAAATGAATAGTCAGCCCATTAAGGTCAGGATAAACCATCTAAGACTAGGCATCAGATAGACATGGACCATACAGCATTCATGTATCCTTCTGACATCACAAGTTCAAACATGTGCTTTTCTTTTTCATCAAACATTTTATGTTGAAATCACTGTAGATTTGAATGCATTTTTAAGAAGGAATACGGAAAGACTCCCGAACAATTTACTCACTTTTCCCCAGTGGTAACAACTTGCAAGATGATAGCACAAAATCTTAACCAGGATACTGACATTGATGTAATCCATCAACATATGTTGTGCTTTGAAAATCAGTTTAACTGTTTGAAAAAGTACCAAATCTATAAAAATGCCTCAGGCTGGATAAACAGCCTGAAGGGGATGTTTTGTATATTTATGAACAGGCTGCTTTGTCTGGCTGAGAGAAGTGTCGCATGCGTGGGTAAGTCATTGAATCATGGGTTCTTTTGAACCGATCAAAGTTCTCTCTCACTGACAGCCCTTACTGTGGAGGAGGAACTTTTTTGCATTTTGTTTCAATTTAGGATTTCCTAAAATTAAGATGAGAGAGTGTCCAGAAGGGTATGTGCCAATCGCAAGGATGCAGAGCATAAAGATGAACCTTCTGATGTGAAACCTTATAGAATAGAGAAAAACTTTCATCATGTAGTGGGAAACATAGAGGATTAGGAAGGACAGGATGGACAGCCAGGCGCTGATGTGGCCACTCCTGCCAGGAGCCCTGCTACTGGCTATTGTGTTTCTCATCTGCCAGGTGTGCCTCCCCAAAGAAAAAATCAAGAGCAGAACAGCAGCAAGGAAAATAAGCAGTGGCACTAAGAGCTCAGCAGCAACAGAGGTAATCTGTATAGCAGGTATATCTTCTATTTGAATTGTGGCATTTTGGGAGAAAAAGTTCATGAGGCTGTGTGGAACAAAACACACTGAATATTTGCTATGGAAAACACAAATGATAGATACATATAGCAGAGACCCCAGGATCATCCACGGGACCAACTTGGATATCTTCATCTTCAACCAGATGAAGAGTGGGTGAGGGACGCTGGAAACCTTGGCGCAGTAGAACACGCCAAGCCATGTGGCAAGCCAAAGTTCCAATTCGTTTATAAACATGACAATTACACAACTCTCAGGATACATGATTAATTTCATCAAGAAGAGAACAACCAGATTAATGTAGAAGATGAAAAACTGCAGAAAAGTTCTAGAAAGTGCCAGGCAGGAAAGAAGGAGATCCACTGGAGCCATTTTTCTGTGCTTGATCAAGTCCATGCCATTCACCACCACAATGATGCCATTCATGAAAATCCCAAGAAGAAATTGTATCACTGCAAGAAGAAAGCAGATAATGAGGTCAGACTCCAGCATTTTAGGAAGAAAAAAATTATTGACTTAAAAATAATAAAGTTTTAGAGTTTTGGACAGGTTGGATTATTCACGCTTTTCTTCAGTTGAATCAGGACTTCTCTGGGGAACAAGACAACAAAGGCATGAGTCAGGAAGGTGGTGTACATTTGCTTATGTCACTGCTTTCTCAATTTAGTTCTGAGAGAGTCAAATAAGGAAGAGATACTCTGCAACAATTTGCTTCTTATTGATGGCTTTTGCATTTTACAGTTTTGCCTAGCTTTCAAAGTCATCACAAGGCAAATCATGGAATCAGACACCTTCAGAGGGCTGGGAGAACAGCTTCTCCATAGTAATTAGCCAAAGGTACTCAATTCTTCATCTCTACTACAAATAATTGATTTTGCCTACAGGTGTGATTCTACTTAATGCTATCTTTGCATTCTTTAAAAATATGTATTTTTGAAATTTTCGCTTGTGTTATGATGACATAGTACAACCAGCAGCAAAGGACTCCTGAGTAGATCTCCGATATGCAATGGTTGAGCAATTCAAAACTATCTATAAAATACTTATAGAATAAAATATGCGTAATAAAACAAAAGTATCACTAAGTATAAAGGCAAAGTAATTAGGCTTGCACGTACGTGTGTGCACCAGGTCATAGTCCTAAAGGAAAGTAAGGTGCAATGAAATGAAGACCGGCACTGAGCACTGTTCGCTCTGATAAGCATCCGCAGGATAATTCAGGGGTTAAAACTTTCTCTCTCTTATTTTTTCAAAACTATGAGTTTTATGACATGAGCTGGTCACTGTAGGAGAAAGTAAAGATAAAATAGTACAGGATTAAATTTGTTGCTTTCACTCTGTAACACGCTATGAAAAGTTAAATTGGCATTTCTTAATATGTATACCATGCTACCTGTTATGCTGAAGTGAGTTTTCTCGGTCTTCATACTATTGACATTTTGGGCTGGCTAGTTCTTTGTTGGGGCAGGGGCTGTCCTGTGCAATGTAGGAAATGTAGAATGTCTACCACGTTCCTGCCCTTTACCCACTAGATGTCCTCTCCAGGCTGTAACAACCAAAATGTTTCTAGACATTGCCAAATGTCCAAAAGTGGCAGAACCACTATGAGGAGACAAAGGTAGATGAACTATAGTGTCTATCTTCCAGGCATTTCAAGACTAAAGGCAGAGCAAGCCATATGTATAATGTGATATAAAACTAAGTTAGTTCTCTCTTTCTCTTTAGAGACAGAGTCTTGCTTTCTTCTAAGTTGGAGTGCAGTGGTGCAGTCACAGCTCACTGCAGCCTCAAATTCCTGGGCTCAAGTAATCCTCCTGCCTCAAGCCTTCTGAGTAGCTAGGACTATAGATATGCACCACCACGGCTGACTGCTTTTTAAAATTTTTCATAGATATGGAGTCTTGCTGTGTTGCCCAGGCTGACCTTAACCTCCTGGCCTCAAGCAATTCTCCTACCTCTACCTCTCAAGGTATTAGGATTATAGGCATGAGCCACCGCTCCCAGCCAAGTTAGTTCTTTATACAATTCACCACCAGAACACAAAGTGGGGACCAATTTAATAAACATTGGGAGAATTAAAGCTTCTCCATCTTAGCACTTAATCAAAATATACCTGGCAGACCTGATAATGAGGCATATGTCTTAATGAACATGTGTTACTTTGTCTAAACATGTCATAAAGAATACTTAAGATTAATCTTATTTATAGAAAACTGGAAGGGAAAACTTATTTTTAAAAATAGTAGAAGTGAAAGTGAATCTGTAGGTTCTTTTATGGCTCTTCTCTGAATAGGACTGTCTGTGCCGTCTTGGACTCCACTTTGTTCTTCCTGACACAACTACAGTGAGATGAGGAGAAGGAAGAGACAGGATCATCTTTAAGAAAGCACCAAGGGAAGTGTTCATGAGCAGATGCCTCAGAATAAATCCAAATTTAAGCATATCAGGAGGATGAGCCTTGTTCTCCATCCACTAGAAAGAAGAAGAAACTTTGTAATTTCACATTCTGCAGGTTAGGAAAACAAAAATGTAAGGGCATCCAGCTATGAAATACAAGCACACTTCCATAAAACTGTGCATTAAATTCTAGAACACCAAAATAAAAGAATATTGGTATAAGGCCAGTCACACTAACTTTTTGGTTTCCTAGTGCATATAAAAATTGTGTTTATACTGAACTGCAGTCTATTAAGTGTGCAATAGCACTATGTCTTAAAAAATATATACATGCCTTAATTGAAAATACTTTATTACCAAAAAATGCTAACGATCATATGAGCCTTCAGTGAGTCAATCTTTTTGCTGGTGGATCTAGTTACCACCTGATTGCCATCAGTCATTGCCTTAATGTTGATGGCTGCTGACTGATCAGGCTGGTGGTTGATGAAGGCTGGGTGGCTGTGACAATTTCTTAAAATAAGACAACAATTAATTTTGTACATTGATGAACTCTTCCTTTCACAAAACACCTCTTTGGAGCACGTGATGCTGTCTGACAGCATTTTACTGCCAGTAGAACTTTCAAAATTGGAGTCAGTCCTCTCAAGCCATGCCACTACTTTATTTACTAAGTTTATGAAATGTTCTAACTCCTTTATTCTCATTTCAACAATGTTCACAACTTCTTCATCAGGAGCAGTCTGCATCTCAAGAAATTACTTCTTTGCTCATCTGTAAGAAGCACTTCCTCATGTCTTAAAAACTTCATCATGAGATTGCAGCAATTCAGTCTCCTCTTGAGGTGCCACTTCCAATTCTAGTTCACCACATCTCTGGCTATTTCCTCCACTGAGGTCTTGAACCCCTGCAAGTCATCCAGGAGGGTTGGAATCAAATTATTTTGTACTCCTGTTATTGCTGATTTTTTTTCTTACCTCCTTGCATGAATCACAAATGTTCTTAGTGGTATCTAAAATGGTGACTCCTTTCCAGAAAGCTTTCAATATACTTTGCTCAGGTGCATCAGAGAAATCACTATCTATGGCAAGTGTAGCCTTATGAAAAGTATTTCATAAATAATAAGACCTGGATGTTAAACTTACTTCTTGATCCACATGTTACAGAATGAATGTTGTGTTGGCAGGAATGAAAACAACATTAATTTCCTTGTACATCTCCATCAAAACTCTTCAGTAACTAGATGTACTGCCAATGAGCAATACTATTTTTAAAATAGTACCCTTTTTTTCTGAGCAGTAGGTCTCATTCATTTTTTATGGCTGAGTAGTATTCCATGGTGTGTGTGTGTGTGTGTGTGTGTGTGTGTGTGTGTGTGTGTGTATCTCTCTCTCTCTCCTGAAATCAGGTTATGTGTTGCTTCCAGGTTTTTTTGTTGTTGCTTAGTCTTGCTTTGGCTATGTGGTCTCTTTTTTGGTTCCATATGAATTTTAGGTTTTCTCTAGTTCTGTGAAGAATGATGGTGGTATTTTTTTGGGAATTGCATTGAATTTGTAGACTGCTTTTTGCAGTCTGGTCATTTTTGCAATATTAATTCTGCCCATCCCTGAGCATGGAATGTGTTTCCATTTGTTTGTTTCATAGATTATTTCTTCCAGCAGTGTTTTGTATTTTTTCTTGTAGAGATCTTGCACGTCTTTGACTAGGTGTATTCTTAAGTATTTTATTTTTCTGTGGCTGTTGTAAAAGGGATTGAGTTCTTGATTTGTTTCTCAGCTTGCCCGTTGTTGGCATATAGCAGTTCTACTGATTTGTGTATGATGGTTTTGTATCCTGAAACTTTACTGAATTCATTTATCAGATCTAGGAGCTTTTTTTTTCCATTTATTTATTTTATTGCATTTTAGGTTTTGGGGTACATGTGAAGAACATGCAAGATTGTTGCATAGGTACACACGTGGCAGCGTGATTTGCTGCCTTCCTCCCCATCACCTATATCTGGCTTCTCTCCCCTTGCTATCTCTCCTCAACTCCCCACCCCCCACCGTCTCTCCCCTATTTCCCCCCAACTGACCCCAGTGTGTAGTGCTCCCCTCCTTGTGTCCATGTGTTCTCAATGTTCAACACCTGCCTGTGAATGAGAACATTCGGTGTTTGATCTTCTGCTCTTCTGTCAGTTTGCTGAGAATGACGGTTTCCAGGTTCATCCATGTCCCTACTAAGGATGCAAACTCATCGTTTTTGATGACTGCATAATATTCCATGGTGTATATGTGCCACATTTTCCCTGTCCAGTCTATCATTGATGGGCATTTGGGTTGGTTCCATGTCTTTGCTATTGTAAACAGTGCTGCAATGAACATTCGTGTGCACGTGTCCTTATAGTAGAACGATTTATAATCCTTTGGATATATACACAGTAATGGGATTGCTGGGTCAAATGGAATTTCTATTTCTAGGTCCTTGAGGAATCGCCACACTGTCTTCCACAATGGTTGAACTAATTTACACTCCCACCAACAGTGTAAAAGGGTTCCTATTTTTCCACATCCTCTCCAGCATCTGTTGTCTCCAGATTTTTTATTGCTCGCCATTCTAACTGTCATGAGATGGTATCTCAATGTAGTTTTGATTTGCATTTCTCTGATGACCAGTGATGATGAGCATTTTTTCATATGTTTGTTGGCCTCATGTATGTCTTCTTTTGTAAAGTATCTGTTCATATCCTTTGCCCACTTTTGAATGGGCTTGTTTGATTTTTTCTTGAAAATCTGTTTTAGTTCTTTGTAAATTCTGGATATCAGTCCTTTGTCAGATGGGTAAACAGCAAAAATTTTTTCCCATTCTGTTGGTTGCCAATTCACTCTAATGACTGTTTCTTTTGCTGTGCAGAAGCTGTGGAGTTTCATTAGGTCCCATTTGTGTTTTTTGGCTTTTGTTGTCAATGCTTTTGGTGTTTTGGTCATGAAGTCCTTGCCTACGCCTATGTCCTTAATAGTTTTGTCTAGATTTTCTTCTAGGGTTTTTATGATGTTAGGTCTTATGTTTAAGTCTTTAATCCATCTGGAGTTAATTTTAGTGTAAGGTGTCAGGAAGGGGTCCACTTTCTGCTTTCTGCACATGGCTAGGCAGTTTTCCCAACACCATTTATTAAACAGGGAATCCTTTCCCCATTGCTTGTTTTTGTCAGGTTTGTCAAAGATCAGATGGTTGTTGATATGTTGTATTTCCTCTGAGACCTCTGTTCTGTTCCATTGGTCTATATCTCTGTTTTGGTATCAGTATCATGCTGTTTTGATTGCTGTAGCCTTATAGTATAGTTTGAAGTCCGGTAGTGTGATGCCTCCTGCTTTGTTCTTTTTGCATAGAATTGACTTGGCTATGCAGGCTCTCTTTTGGTTCCATATGAAGTTTAAGGTGGTTTTTTCCAGTTCTGTGAAGAAGGTCATTGGTAGCTTGATGGGGATAGCATTGAATCTGTAAATTACTTTGGGCAGTATGGCCATTTTCATGATACTGATTCTTCCTAACCATGA